CATCATCAATTCCGACATGAAATCTTCAGACACACGAATCCTTAACCTCTCCCCTGTTTCACCCTTCTGTATAAGAAAAGGTTGCCGATGAGTCACGACTGATTTCCTCTGAGGTGTGGTTGTTTTCATGGCGGCGATAGTGAGAAAGGAGAGATCTTTCTTGAAGAAATCTGAAGGAAGAAGAAAGTAATTGAGACCGAGCTTAAGCGTATCGGTTTCAGACAAAACAGGGGTTTTTTGTCCGATGTAAAGTAAGTCCGATCTACAGATTTCGTGCTTTGGGAAGTCTCTTGTTAGCTCTGAGACCATTACTGGATGATCGTAGACTTCGAAAGAACCGTCGGATCTGATGAGTTTGCTCCGTCGTTGTTTACCGTCTCCGTCGTCGTTGGACCGGTCTGGTCGGGGATGGACACAGAGCCAACCCGAGGGGGATTTGTGTAGCTTTACGAGTAGTCTTGCGAGCTTGGAGATATTAACATGGCCCATTTTAGGGTTTTGGGGATTTAGGGTTCTTCTCTTCTCTGTTACGAAAAGAAGGTCATCAAATTGCTGCGGAGGAGAGAGAGACAGAGATAATGTTTTGTAGTTTCAGTGTGAACTAATGAGACGAAGTTTTGCTTGTATATATATATACAGAGAATATTTTATATAGAAAAGATTTTTTGGTGTAAAAAAAAGAAATATAGAAAAGGTTTAAAAAATATATATATATATTTCTCATAATTCAAATTATATCAGTTCGAGTTCTTAATGTTAGATTAATCAAATAGATCGAGTTCTCTTTTAAACCATTATGATTCTCTCTAAGTCTCTATGTTAGAATATATCAAAGTATTTTATTAGTTAGATAAAGATTGACTAGATTTAGTCCAAGTTGTGGTGTAAATTACTTAAGTGTGATTAATAAAATAAGACTAATCTAATGACTATGAAGATGCCCATGTTGAACGTGCGTGACGGCATTATGTTAAACTCTATGATACAAGTATAAAAAAGTTTATTAAGAGAGAAGACTTAGACCCGTGGCAAAAGCAAGTAGGAGTGTTCTTTTTAGACATTTCTATTTTCATTTTAAGGTACTTCAACTTTAATGGATAATGACATAATGCTATGTCTTCTTAAGTATCTGACAGCCACATATTTCTTTTCAAAACTATATCGTATAATCATTTAGTACTTTTTAAAACTGGTTCTTGACCTAATCCATACTTAGTTGAAGATTCATCATCGAGGAATTCTCATATATTAGTTATAACTTTTTCTTGTTCAACTAATCGTTAAGATACTATTGA